TCCAGTGAGCTGGTTACCAGCGGTCAGTGTTCCAGTAAGCTATTTACTGGTATGCCTTATTCCAGTGGGCTTCTTTCATTTCACTGGCACAATGAGAGGCAGTGAGGTTTTATGCTGATTCAGCCCCTGTCACTGCTGCAGATCTCTGATTTGTGCTGTGCTCCATGCCTCATGAACTCCCTGTGTTTTCCTGTCTTGTGGTTTCCTGTAATGTAGAAAGAATCAGATCTTGCCAGGGGGAGGAAACTAAAAGAGACATTCTTAGCACTGCAATTGCTCAGGAACGAAGAGGAAGTCTGTTTCCAGAAGCAGCTTTTGTCAAGTGCTGGCCTTTATATCTGGGCTCCCTCAATTTTGGGATTTGCTGTCAATAGCATTGAAAAAGTCACACGAAAATCCATGGAGCTCTAACATAGTTTGTCTCCCCTTTTCCGAATAGACAGACATGGAAATTATTCATTTTGACTTCCAAATGAAGCGAGTGCAGTAGACCTATAGGAGCTCCTGTATGTGTTTGCACATCTGATATAGATGTATTTATTGAAGCTGTTATGCATTGCTTAAAGTGTACCAACTACACCATTTTGAATTAAATGCAAAGGTGAGCATGTGTTCAAATACACCATTATTAAAAGTATGTGTTTGGTGAAACATAGCCCTGAAATTGAATGACCTGTATGCCTGTGCTAAATTAAATGTGGGGTGTGTGGTGGGATCCTGAGATTGCTTAATGCAAATGTGTGCATCAAGGAGGAAAAATGAATGAAAGTAAAGAAAGAATATGGGGCATGTATGATAACAAAGAACACATAAAGAATAAAAAGCACCACACATATGACCAGATTCCAAAGCGGTTTGGAATGCTAATGGAAGGAAGCTCTTTGTTTTTGGAAGAGCATCTTCTCTCTATGCTGTAGTGCAGTTTCCTGCTCTGCAGTCTGCCTTTGTTCCAGCAGTGCCGATACTCCTCCCACAGAAAAAACCCTTCATTAAGAGGCTCACTGACACCAGGGCCTGGCAGTGGTACCTGACATATGCGGACTGATCGTGAGACACTAGCCAGGTTCCTGCTGGAAATGAATAAATTTTCTTTGTGCACCATGAACTTGATTATCAGTAACTGGACACATGTGGTCTAGTGCAGATTGTGTCAGCACAGCCTTACTGTTCCAACCCTCTCTGAACACTGCTTCTCTAGAATCCGTTCCGTGAAGAAGAGATCACAAATCCTTCTCACTCTAGTGTTTCAACTGTATTTGATCTTGGAGTCTGGCAGGAATTTAAGTCCAGATCCAGGACCAAAAGTCATTCACTCACACAGCGCTCAGCCCCTGCCCCTGATACGTGGTATTACCCCAAAATCAGAAGACTTCAGTGTCTGAGGGAAAGATTAGTATCTGGTATCTTATTCGAACCTTCAAACAAAAAACTTCTCCCATGCATCTTCAAGCTCAGGTTTATCCTTGCTGTGAAACCCTTGTTGCAGAATTAGTGTTTTTCATCCACTTTGACATTTACCCTCTCCAAAGTTAGTGCTGTTTTGGGACAATCTGTGTGATGTGTACAACTCAAATAAATCTCCCGGTCGGCCTCTGAGAGAGAACACAAACTGGGCTTTGTCTAAATACTCAGACGCTCTGTTGTAGTTTCTTTTAGATTAAGCACGTTCACCATGGACACTTTGCTTGCCGAAGCTGTCTGATAGGAAAAGACTACGCTTGTTCTTTTTTCCCTGTGGGCTGTTCTGTAATGCAACCACAGTTCAGCAAACGCTTTTAGATGAGCCATGTGCTGTATACACTCATCCCAAAGCAAGGCGCTGTGGATGTTCCTCTCCCCATGGCTGAGAGTTAGGAAGTATCACAGGACTTCTTAGGAAACATCACTGGTCGATAACATAATAATTATCATTATGGTCCAGGTTAGGATCCCTTGTACTTTCTGTCTACATAGTTTGCACTTTGTTTAGGAGTCACAGAAACAAAATAACATCTTTGCTTCTAAGACGTTATTGGGAATCCTAGGACTTTCACTCCTGCTCTGCACATCCTTTTAAAAAAACTCCAGTACATTGAAATAGTTTCATGTATCCTGGAATCCCCCTGAAATGTTTTCCCCATTTTATGCCTGTTGAAACAACTTGTTGTTTCCTGCTGCAATGCTGACCAGGCTATGTGGTCTTTTATTAGTTTGTTAGAGGGGGATTTGGGGATTTTCCACCCTCCAGAGGCCTTAGAGGTTCCAGAGATGCAAGGCCATCTTCAAAGGTCTTATCAGGTTTTCCATGGCTAATATTGAATTACTGGAAGTGCAGCAGAGCATAGAGAAGCCAAGGCAAAAGCATATTAAACCACAGAGGAGTGTGATCAGACATTGTTCGGTAGGCGTCCATGGAAGAGCAAAGTAATTTACTGTGTAACTATTCAGTCCCCTATCTCTCCTACAGCCCCTCTGGCCCTCTCCTCCGCCACTTTCTGTACCCCCTCTCTGCTCCCGCACTTTCCGAGCGTCCTCCTGCCCCTCCGCTCCTCACTTTTGGCATGAACTGCCCCCAGAAATCAGACCTGCTCAGGCCGTGACCCCTTCGCCACCTGCTGTGTTTAGACAGTTCCTGTGGACTCTCAGGTGCCGTCTCCCGCATTTCCCGGGCTGGCTGTGGGGCTTGTTCGTTACGCCCGTTGGCTGTAGACGCAGAGCTCGGGCCCCCAGGCTGCCTCCACGCTGTCTGAGTGCTGTTTCTTTTTTGCCTGGAACTACTCCTCCAGGTTGTGTCAGCTATCTTTTTCATCGCGTTTGCTTGTCATATACTGTTTACGTGATCGTTACAGTACATTACATATGTATTTTGTAAGCTGTCATGGATAAGGGTTAGGGCGGCATTGCAAATAAATAAGACCGATGATGATACCAGCAACATCAGTTAAATGTAATTCATGCATGACGTCACCCAATGAGGAAATGCAGTTGTGCTTGAGTATTGAGGAGTTGGGCAAAAAAAGCTTTGGCTTCACTTGCTAAACTGAGGATGGACCCCCAGGCCGGAGCAGGAGGAAGTCAGGACCCCCTGCAGAGGGAGGAGTTACCCAAGGGGCAGCAGCACAGGTGGAGACGGAGAGGAGGAGGGAAGCAGAATGATGTCTGCGAGGAAGAGGGCGGGGCTTCCTGTGGTATTTATAGAGTTTTCAGGAAGTGATCCAAGTTAGGAGTAGAAGAGGTCGCTGTCATCCCTCCTGGCTGCCAGTTAAAAAGCCCACTGGCAGTAGCACAACGATGGGAAAGCACTGCGGAGATTGACCATGGTCACGTTAAAGGATGCCCAGTGCTCCTGGAGAGAGGTGTTTTTCAGTTCAGCTGCTGGCAAAGAGGGCTGGTTCTTAGGCCTGGGTGTGCAGAATGACATTACCCTGTGGAAAAGCCCTACAACACAAGGGATGCAGTCAAGGGCTTTAAATTGTTAGTCAACATTATAATAATAGCATATCTGCCAGATTGAGCAGATGTGTGTAGGAGTGTATCAAAGCGGTGTCTACAAGGCACAAGGCATTGTGGTTCTCCAGCAATTTCAGTAGGTGTATTGTGAGTGTTTTGGCTGGAATCGATCCTTAAAAGACAGCTGCAGCACGCCGACCACGAATTCTTGCTATGGGGCAGGAATTCCAGATTAATCCTGGGCTCGCCGCATTCTGCAAGCATCGTGCTAGAGGATTTATGTTTATTGAGGGATCTAAAAGATTAGACAGTAGATATTTTCTAACAGACTTACAAGGTCATCGACGCAAACAGCAAGAGGGGGCTGGCAGAAGCAGGGGCTGCAAGTGGGGCTGTTAGATGTCAAGGGTTTTTCCCAGTCGGCTGTATTAAAGCAGATCTTTTATCGCCTTTATTTAAAGGCGGGAGGTTTGACAAATCTCCCACGTCCACTTACAACCTCTTGGTCATTATAAACTGGATATTTCGGTGAATTAAAAAAAAACAACTAATTCATGTACTGCCTGCATTTTGGCATTATGTCTCTGCTCCCTGTCACTTTTTCTTTCTAAACGTGTGAGTTTAAATATACACGGAGTTGTGAAAGGGTGATAACTGAACTGAAACCCAAGGCGATGACGCAGCATGAGGATAGTAATTAGAAACCTAATACGCACAAGCGCCTGGATTTCCAACCCAGTGATCGCATGCAGCCGAACCTGCACAGCTGATCATTATACAGTTCTATATTCTTCTGTAGGACTTTCTTTGAGCATACTACCACCCGCGTTCGTCAAAACAAAATCTTGACAGTATGCAAATTCCGTAAAAAGTCACCCACTGTCTTCGTCTTAAATGTTTTAGCCTTAATAAGAATATACTTCTTTTCAACTCGACTGCAAAATGAAATTGAAGAAGAATCCGGGGGGGGTGGGGAGATGAAAACCTCTGAAGAAATTTGTGAGCGACACTAATTGTAGAAAATCCTTTGTGATGGTAATAGAATACGGGCGTTCTAACTCTAAATAAAGCGTTTATTCATTTGGTTTGTTTCATTTAATAAATAAACCAAAATGTATTTGATTTCTATCTTGTTTTTTAAAAAAAATATTTTTCACTTCTACATTCGCTCCAAAGCTTCAAAAGAGAGAGACCCCAAAAACTACATCTCCCAGAGTCCAACGGGAGGCATTATCTTAGCAACAGCTGACAGACGGTAAAAGCCGAAGTGAAAAGCTGCCAGCGAGAGAGCGGAGTCAGCAGGGCGGCTGAGCTTCGCTGCTGCTGTCAAACTAACACACAGCAGGACTTGGGGGCTTTTTTTTTTGCTTGGACTCTCGTGTTTGGCTATTTCCACCTTCAAATTGATGATACATGTAAATATTTCTTCGACTTTAATTCGGGCATGTGATTAAGCCAGGGAATTATTTTTTAACCATTTGTGTGTGTGTGCGCGGGGGGAAATTATTCAATTTTTCGTCTCTCTAACCCCCCAAACTACCCCCCCCTACCCTTCCTCCTCCCTCCCCCCCCGCCCCCCACCACACGCACACACACACACACCCCACCCCCCGCAAGCCGTGCCCAAATGCCGAGGAATGGACACCGAGTCTGGCAAAGAGGGGAACATGGTGGAGAGTGACGAGGTGCCGGAGAGGGCGAGTGGCCGCGACGAGGCGATGGCCGCGCTACAGCAGTGCGAGCTCATCCAGGACATGATCGAGATCTCCATCTCCAGCTTGCAGGGGCTCCGGACCAAGTGCGCCGCGTCCAACGACCTTACCCAGCAAGAAATACGCACTTTGGAGGTAATGAGCGAAGCCGCAGACCTTTACGCACAGCAGTTACAGTGCAGAGCCCAGTGCGCTCTCCTGCAGGAGCTGTCTCAGCGCTTCATAGTCTCGCCTCGCCTGGCTCGGGGCTTTGCGCTGCAGTGTTTCAGTAATGTTGTGCAAGGTGATCGAAATGTACGTTGAGCTGTACTTTGTGATCTTTCCGCCCTCCGGAGGGAAAACAAATCCACTTTAAAGCACGTCATCTCGGCGACTTCGTGTGTGGTAGAGAGAGAGATAGGATAGGTGATTGTTGGTGGATCTGAAATAAAATACCAGAAGAAGGAGAAAAAACAAGAATGCGCTTCGAAAATATAGCGTCCCTGCGAAGTTGAGTCTTCTGTTTTGTTTTTGTGTGACAAGATGAAGGTTGCGCATCTCTGCCACGGCACAGTCATTTGTCAGTTCGGTTCTTTTGCGCAAAAGACTTGCCCCGCTTTCATAAATAGAAATCGCTTCTTCTGTAAATTAAAACCCGCCCGGTCACAAACTGTAGAGTTGGCTTGTGCAAGGGGCTTCACTCTGAACGCGTTAAGAGGAAATATTAAATTATCCGGCCATCATCAACTCTCAGTAGCCGTCCGGTAATCTTTAATTGAAGGAGATATTCTTTTATTTAAATTCGTGACATTTAGGCCCGCAGAGTCAATATCAAAGGTCTCTCCGGTTTTAATTTATTAATGGAGCAATAACCTATTAATTTAGATACTGGAGAAGCCTCTCAGGAGAAAACGATGTAAATATGTCAGGGCAGATATACACGTAGGGGAGGTGGTGGTGGTCGGGGCAGGTGCTGGTTTGGATCAGGACAATTGCTGTATCACAGTCGGCGCAATTGAGCTATACGTGATCTTAGCCATTACATAGGCTTAGTAAGTATATGCAGTTTGGACCTTGGTGAAATGCGGCGCCGGTTCGTTTTTATCATCGCGATGTTATGTCTATGTTGTATAAGGTCTCGAAGAGTCAAGTGGAACAGTTTGTTAGTTGGTTAATTTCTGCTGTAATTATTGTTATAATTGTGTATGGACGTCTTGATGGTCTGTAATGGGCTGAACCTCAGAGTTTTACTGGTATTTATGTCTTACCTAATGTTTTTAGGGAAGACCTGCTGCAGAAAAAAAATAGCTTTAATCAAAAGTAGTTTTGTGTAAAATCAAGCCATAGAGATTAATTCTACAGCATTGCTGTCCAGGAAATGTATGCAGGTATTCTTTCAGATGTGAGTTCATTTATTAACCCTCTACCTGCTTTCTGAGCATAAGAGAGTCGACAGCAATTTTTGCAATTGTTTTAGAGTACTGCATGAGTGCCAACACCCCCTCGCACACACACAAACACAAAATAACAAAATATTTCGACACACCGTGGTCACAGCTGACCGAGCTTCTCAGAAAGTCCCAAATGAGGTGGATAAATTCCTGAAATATCCGCAAAGATGATTCCAGGAGCGCCCCCCACACCGGACTCCAGGACCAGAGCCCGTTCTGAGCCTGCTCAGCAGAGGCAGGAGCAGGCCGGTGGAGAGGAGAGAACGGGCGAGTGAAACACGGCCCTGTTGCGACTGCTGTTTCACGGAGATGTTTCAAAGGCAAATGAGATAAATTCCTCAGACGAACAAGCCCGCGGCAGTGGGAGAGCACGGTCAGTGTACCCTCTCCGTTTACGCTCTGCTCTAGAGAGGTTGCGCCTGTCTTTAAATACCCGTCGCCGAGGTTTGCGGAGGATACAGTGGGGTTCATCGTCCCGGAAAGCAGTAGGGTATCCGCAGGGGACTAGACAGCCAGTCCTCAGGGCTTCTCCAGCTGCCGCGGTGCTGGCCCCAACAGGGCGAACCTTAACTCGCTTCTCTCGTCAGGGCAGCACCCCGAAAATCTTGATGTGGGTTGGCAGGAACGCGGCTGAAACAGAAACGGTTAAAATTGGGTAGGTGGCCTTGAGCTGGTCTGAGCCCACCTGGGGCGGGCAGACGGGAGGGAGTCATCTCAGTGGGACCTGCCTGCGCCCAGGTAACTGCAGTAGCCCCTCCAGAAACTCCTGACACCCTCCTTGAGCACTGGTGTTGTTCCAGCGGTCCTCATTACCCCCATGCCAGAAAAGCCAGACTTGGCTCTGGACAATCGAAACAATTTTTCGCCCCATCTCCAACTTACCCTTGCAAAAAATCTAGAATGTGCTGTTAAAAATTCAGTTTAATAACTACCTCATTGAAAATAATCTTTTTGAACCCCTCCAGTCTAGCTTCTGACAACGTCTTAGCACAGAAACTGTCCTGGTCAAAGTCACTAACAGACTTCTAATAGCTTCTGATTCTGGTTCTCTTAAGCGCTTTGAGAAGCCACCTTTAAAGGCGCTATATCAATAAAGTCTATTATTATTATAATAAGTGGTTTCCACTGTGTCAGTGTTGGGGCTGGCTCAGAAATGCCACTAGGGCATGTTGAGGGTGCTGAGATACTGGAGCATTCCTTCATAACAATAGTCTGCAGCTCCCACCAAATATTCCTCTAACGGGAAGGCCAGGCCAGTTACAGGGAGAGACTAAATATTTAGGCATTTAAGTGTGATACTAATTTATGGTTCTAAATTCTCTTCCATTCCCAAGATGCATTGAGCTTGAAAGTGACAGTGTTGAGGTGGGCTTTACTTTGGCAACACTAATGCCTAATTTGGCTTTACTGTACAAGAAAAATGTTCGTTTAGGAATAAAAGGAGAAAGTAGTCAGACTAAAGATCTGATGAAAGGGCTACTTTTTTAAATGGTTGGCACTCAGACATATTTCAGATATACTGCAAAGTCACATTAATTAGCAACTTAGGAATATCAAGAGTGGGTGTTTGTGCTTTGCTGTCTTCCCAGAATGTCTGTCCCATTTTCTGATTTGACATAATGTAAACTTGAAGCTAGATTATTAGGAATAATTTAGTTTTCTTGAAGTGTTCTTACATGAAAACAGGGAGAGAAAGTGTCACAATGATTTCCGGCAAAGTGTGCCTAAGCAGTTTTTTTCCCAGTGGGTTTAGTGAAGGAGTGATTTGGCCTAAATCTTTGACCAAACAGTTTTAGAATTAAACTGTAAAATAAAACATGTTTTACAGCATAACCTCGATTTTGCCACATTGATACATAGGAGAAAGTTGGGAACTGGGATTTACCATGTAAAACTTGGGTTATGAAAGCTAAACACGAAAGCACCTTATGCTTTACATTCCTGAAGTAGACCAATTGTAAGAACATCATATTTAAAACCATTCCAATTATATTCTTCAATATAAAATATGCTTGTTTCTTTTAGATATGCCTAAAAATGCACTGAAGCACCCCCAGAAACTCAACTGTCTGTATTTATCTAAGAATTGCTCAGGTGGAGTTTGTTTGTCCCTGTACTCATTTTGTATCTGTGTTGAAAAAAGATCAAGCCTACCCTCTCATTTTGTGTTTGTTTTGCCTGGTTTGTTGCTTGAAGTCATAGAGGTCCCAACATAGCGCTTAAGACATTGAAGAGCAGGTGTCACGTTGCCTGATGGAAAGCAAGATTTGTCGTAAAGAAATGGCTAGCAGCCTTGTCACTTCCAGGACATTACAGATGGTTCTTTCTGCCAGAGCTGTAATTCATTGCCTATGAATGAGCTTGTTTCCCTTGCTGCTGAGAATCATATGAGGAGACAGGAGGATCAGCAGCACCAAAGGCTTTGCAATGGAAGAATGGAACGGAAGGGTTAAGGCTAACAATTGCTGTCAAAAAGTTTCAGCCAATGGGCTTCGGCCAAAAAGCACATGGCCACACAGAGAGTGGATCAGCCTCGCTTGTCCTTCAGTCTCTTGTCAGTGCAGACCTTCTGAAAGAGCGATCAGTGACCCTTGGTCTAGTCTGTGTGTGTTTACATGCTGTGTTGGCTATGTTGGTCCTGCCATAAATCATGGCTCTTGTGGATCAAGCCAAGTTGGAACACTGTACTTAAAACTTGAATTGAAAGTCTGTTAGGCTGCTTTTACCTGCACCAGTGAGCCTTCATGTGATGCTGCAAGACTAAGCTGAGCATACACCAATTCTTCCTTGTCTTGTAAGGACTGCCTACATGCTGAACCATAATGCTTGTTAGAATAGACATACAGTACAAATAAGTTATGTTTGGAGTTCTTTGTTTATGAAGAGATGTTTAATGGACATTAGGAGAATACTTGTTTAGCTAAGGTGTCCCTTTTGTTTGCTCTAGGATTGTCATGTACAAACATGACTAGTAATGGACAGATGACTTCTTGTTAAAGGAACGTCTTCATTGCCTCTTTATGATCTGGCCTGGTGGCATTTCTGGGGATGTGCAATTGGAGGAGACCCATATATGTTCACTCGCTTGGGCACATTTTGCTTTAGGGGACGAAATGAATGGGGTTGCAGTGGGAAAGAGAGATAGTCACACGAAGGCAAAGCCGTTACTAAAGCATCAACCTTGCAGAAGGAACACTTTCTGTGAGGGGGCTGTTCTTGTCGCAGGCGTGACGAAAGGTCTCGCTGTTCCTCGTCCTGAAGATGTCACTTTCACTTCTGCTTCCTGTTCATGCAGGAAGTCCATCTCCTACCTGCATTCCAGAGCCCACCCCACAGGGAAATTCCTGCTTTTAGAGACAGGAAGTGATGTGGGCAGTGCTGTAGAGGGATGTGCAAGTCAGCCTCCTGGCCTGACAGTCAAGCTGAGTTGAATTCTGCATTAAACCTCCCACTGTCAGCCGCAGTGTGTTACAAAATTGTAGGCCGAACCATCCCGCCTGACCTGAATATGCAACTCTTGCTTCAGAGCTCTTGTGCAACTGATCACTGCTTTCACCACCTGCGTATGTCACTGAAATGCAATGCCGCACTGAAAGCAGAGTCAACAGTTAATTACTGTGTTTCTCCAGGTTCTGCCTGCTCCAAGTTGCTGGGCTGGGGAATTTAAAATCAGGATTTTCCGTAATGCTTTGACACCTGTACTGG